CCCTGTTTCTAGAATCCCCTCCCACCCCAACTCACCCCATTTGTGACAGGGTCTCATGAAACCCAGACTGGCCTCAAACTCATCATATAGCCCAGGCAAGAATGGAATTCTCTATGTAGCTGAGAATTGCCTTGACTTCCCAATCCTCCTGTCTCTATCTCCCTCATTTACCCTCCTGGCCAGCTTGCCCACAGTTTCTGATCATCTCTTTCTCTGCTTACCCGGGATATCAGTTTGGACTCAGCTGCAGACCACAGAACCCACTCAGGCAACTGAGGTGAAGGGTGTGTGTGTGTGTGTGTGTGTGTGTGTGTGTGTGTGTGTGTGTGTGATTATCTCGCAATGGCTGCCTTACAGACTCACTGGATAGGAGTCTAGAGCCAAGGTCAAGTTTCCTGAGCAAGAACAGCAGTGCCCCGGTGGGGCAGAAATGCTGATGCCTAGCAGCTGAATCAGAAAGCTGCTGACAAGACCTCAAAATACAGAGAGGTCGATGGTTTCTGTTCATACTTTGAACCTTTCTTCATGAAGGCATGGGGAAGATAAGCCAGCACAGGCAGTCATGTGAGAGTCACAGCCGGTTACAGAGGTCACAGAGAGAGTCTTAGGGGAAAGTAATGGGAAAGAGGATCTCAGAAGTGGCTGGCTGGCTGGGGAGGCAGCTCATGCTTGCCACACAAGCATGGGGACCTGAATTTGGATTCTTAGCACCCAAGTGAAAGCCCGGCATAGTGGCATGCATCTGTAACTACAGTACTGGAGGGCATGGCGGCATGCATCTGTAACCGCAGCATGGGAGGGCATGGCGGCATGCACAGATCCCAGTGCTCACTGATCAGCCAGTCTGAAACAGCAAGCTCCAGGTTCAGAGAGAGAGCCTGTCTTGAAAACTCAGGTGAAGAATAATAGATGAAGACACTGACCTGTGACTTCCATACATCCGTGCAGGGTCTAGTACACCCACACATCCATGCATATGCCTCCCTTCCCTATGTATACCACGCGCATGCACACATACACACACACACACACACACACACAATAAATAAATACATAATTCTTTATTAGTCAGAGAGGGAGTGGTTAATGATTGTAGGAACATTAATGGACCCAGAGCACCGTGGGTGGAGGAGTAGGAGGTAAAAAAGTGAGGACGACACCCAGCACCTTTCCAGAAGCCGGCTGTAAAGCAGGTGGGGTGGAAGATGATCAGAGGATGGCATGGAGGCGGGGTTGGGGGACCTGAGCAAGGCAATGTTCTCAACTGGGAAATGGAAGCCACTAGCAGCCCGTGTGTTAATGCTCTCATGACTAATTCAGTTGGGAGGAAATGGCTGGAAACCCACTGGCGAGCAATGCCTGATGGATACAGTGTGGTTTCTGAACAGGTGGGAAGTGGTGGGAGCTGAAATTTGAGGCGAGGTGGAGAGCAATGGGGTTAGAGACTTGAAATACCTGCGCGGGGGACAGGATGGAGAAAGGAAATACTGCGGGGTGTCACAAGAGGATCACCGACTGAGTCCAGAGGCAGAACATCTGCACTTACATATGAAGTATTCTAGGGCCAACAAAACGGTTTAGTGGGTATGCTGGGTGGGGTCTTGCCAGCCTGATACAAACCTAGACCCACCTGGGAAGAGGGACTCTCAACTGAGAAAACGCTTCCATCGTACTGCCCTGTAGGCAAGTCTGTGGGGTATTTTCATGATTGGTGATTGATGTGGGAGGACCCAGCTCAGTGTGGGTGGGGTCACCCCTGGGCAGGTGGTCCTGGGCTGTTTAAGCAAGCAGGCTGAGCACGTCAGTAAGCAGAGCTCCTTCACGGCCTCTGCTTCCGCTCCTGCCTTCTGCCTGCAGGTCCCGTCCTGACTTCCCTCAGTGACAGTGTGACCTGAGAGCTGTAAGGCGACATAAACCCTCTCCTTCCCAAGTCGCTTTTGGCCCTGGTGTTGTCTCACAGCCATAGGAACCCTAAGATGGCAGGTAAATGTGCTTGCCACCATGTACGTGGGTCTGAGTTCAATGCCACTGTGTTGGGTGATAAAACTTTTCTTGGGGAGATAAAACACACACATCCACTCACCCCTGATAGGGAACCCATGACAAACCAAAGTACAGATAGCACCAAAGTCCAACTTTGTGAACCATTGAGTTTTACTGGGGTTACTTACACTAATATGGATGAGGGGCTACTTACAGGTAAAGGAATGACTCAAAGACAGTGGCATCACCAAAGCCCATGCCAGCACGGGTGACAGTTTTGCTAGTCTGAAAAGTCTTTATTGCAGCTTGGCTTCCCTAGGGGAGAACGCTCGGCTCTTACTGCTTACTCTGTCTGGGAGGGGCCGAGTGAATCTGGTCAGTTTCATGGACTTCCTGAAGCTGTTCTGAGTTGTTTACCTTCCTGTTGTTTAAGGAGCTTCCCTGCGGGATGGGATGTTTCTGTCTCAGAAACCCACACAACCATGCGCTGGAAGTAAAGAACGAGCTCCTTGGAGTTGCCCTCTGATCTTCACTCGTGTGCTGTGGCACAACTCCCACCCAATAAAGTCATTTTAAAAGTTTTGCAAAGATTTAGTATGCAGATTCTAAAAAGTTGGCCTAGCTGAGCTTGGGGGTGGGCTGGGGTTGTGTGATCAGTGACCCACCTGGCAGACATGAAGATATTCCCCAGAAACACTTGCATCTATCTCTTCATATCTCAGACTATTGAGACAATGGACCCCAAGAGAGGGGAACGTCTCTAGGAATCCCATGCCGGCAGAAAAGGTCCCATTGGGGGCGGGGCCATCCAACTCGTCTCTAGAAGAGAGATTTCACAGTTCTAAAAGCTTGTCGGGTCACCTTGTATGGTGAGACTGAAGCCCAGACAATGATGGGTCATCGGAAGATGAACTTGGTGGTGGCAGTGGGGGGGGGGGGCACTGGTTTTCTTTGTCCCCCTTCCAAGGTGGCTGCAACGAATAAATCAATAAATCTCCTTGCCTTTTTTTTTTTTCTGTTTTAATTGGCATGACTGAGGCGAACAAATCTTACAGAGACATTGAGACACTTAGGATTCAGCAGTAAGTCCAACCTAAACTGAACCCTGGAATGAAGGGAGTTTATTGGCTCGTAAGAGAAAGTCCAAAAGTGCGTAGGCTTCAGGCGCAGACTAAACAGTCTTCTTGTGACCAATCTACTTGACCCCCTGCGGGACCTGCTAGAGTTGTTCTTATCTTGCCTTCTTCTCTCAGGGCTAGACAATGGCTGATAACAGCAACCAGGGTAGAGGTCTCAAGAAAACAAAACAAAACAGCAACAACCCCCCCCCCCAAAAAAAAAACCTAGAAGGCTGGGAAAGGGGAAAAACCCTCTGCCCCATTCCTGCAAATCCTGTTTTCTACCATTTCATCCCATTGGCAGGACCTTACAAAAAGGTCCCAGGAAGCCTAGAAGCAGCTCCCCCATGCAAGAATGGGTGAAGGGTAAGTGGTAAGTGAGTCAGAAAGCACCAGGAAAGGGTCTGGTGGGTCAGGAAACCATGGGCAACCAGATGGAGTAGCCCTCTTAGGAGTGGCCTGAGACCAAGTTGGGAGGTGGCCAAATGTCTTACCCAGTGCATGATTCTTAACCTGAATGAGGGTGGTTCTGAGGGCTGAAGTGCCGAATGAGGAGAATCAGGATTTGGTGTTGTCTTTGGGAAGGGGCTGTAAGAGTTGGAGCATCCATGTAGTAGTTGTGTGTACTGCAAAGAATTCTTGTGTGGAAGGGAGGGTATGTGCTAGCCAGGGGAGGCTGGGCTATGGCTGCTATTATTTTGGTATGTTAGTCTTCCTTCTTTCCTTTCTCCCTCCCTCCCTCCCTCCCTTCCTTCCTTCCTTCCTTCCTTCCTTCCTCCCTCCCTCCCTCCCTCCTTCCTTCCTCCCTTCAATGGGGACCCCAAGGTAGTAGCACACTGGCTTACCTGGCACCCACAGACACACACTCTCACCTTCCCGTAAGGCAGCCATGACTTCATACTCCACAATGATGGGCATTTGTGGTTTGCCTCTACCATATAGCACAGAGTGGGGATGAGATGGCTAGCAGTTCATTTTGTCTGGCTAGCAGTTAGTTTGTCTGCCTATCAGCCTTCCTGTGGGAAACTGTCTCTACCTCTCTGGTCATTCTAAAAAAGGCTCAAATGACAGACACCCATACTTTGTCTTTTAAAAAGACCATGCGACCTAAGGGAGGCCGATCAGCTACCTTCCCAGGAATGTGCCTTGGGGATAGACCTAACCAGGCTGGACAGCAGCTGAGGCTGGCTGGTCTGGCAGCAGAGCCCTAGAGAGCAACTCTGGACGAAAGCAGGTGTTCTCAGCTGGAATCGCCAGTACTGTCTGCCTCACCAATCCGCTCTCGTAGTCTGTGAACTGCCCCTGCTCCTTCTATAAACCTTCTTCCTTTCACTGAAAGGAAAAAGTTTGTCCCTAATAACCAAAAGTCTCCAACGGAGTCAGTGAGGTTTAAAGGCTTAGTGCTAAAATGCTTCGAGCTAAAAGACTTAAGTTGGGTCTTTCTTCTTAGTAGATAAAAAATACTGTAAATTCCCAACATCATCAGAGTTCAAGGACAGTGTTCACTGCCCGGTACCCATGGACCATGCACACCCCTTAAAATCAATGAGCTTGTATCACAGGCGATATGACCTCAAAGCACCTTAGGCATTTTCCTTTTTCGTTTAACAAACGTAAAAATAATCTACTAAGGATTTTTCAGGGCAGCAAGATTCTTCTGTCTGATTGTCGTATTTCCTTGTATTTATCAGTATTTTACATACTTTGCTGCTTTTTATTTTATTTTATTTTTTTGTGACAGTGACTTGCTAGGTATCTTGGGCTGGTCTGGAACTCACTATGTAGCCCAGGCTAGCTTCAGCCTCCTGATTACCGAGAGGTTTTCCATCTATCTTACTGTTAGTTTGGGAATACTTAGCTGAAGAATATGGTCTGAACATTAGCAGACACACACAAACATTTTACTGTGCTTACAAATCATTTATTCTTATTTCGTACATTTGTTTTCAGCAAAAATGCATAGTTATATCATTTTCACAGATTTTTTTTTTCATATTCAAGACAGGAGGAAACACATGTCTCAGAAACTAAAATCATATCAGACCATACAACAGAAATGAAAGGCAGTTTGTTACATGCACAGAACCAACGAGAACAATGTCTGTTTTCTATAGATGAGGTTGCTTCACTTTTCTGGAAATTTGCAATTATGATGCAGTAAAGCTCTTCTGTCAGAATGGACTTGAATGGACCATGGACTTGAAACCATCTTAGAGTCCAGGCTGGAAGCGCTTCCGTCCTGAGGATGCCTCTCTAGCCAGCTAAGTCAGCTCTTTGGGTGAGGACTGGAGTCAGGGTGGCCTAAGAAGAATTAATTTAGCAAGCAGTGGAAAAAAATTCTTTATGCCTACATTATTCTTTACCCTCCACTGTCACCATTAAATGAGATTTAAAAACAACATATGAAACCTTTCTATTTGGTCTGTTAAATCCCCTCTCTGCCTCTGCCCTCAAGAACGTGAAGACAGACAGCCCTTCAGGCAATGCTCTCATAAGGCAGATGGTTGAATGCCTAAGTACACAGGGAATCCTTTTAAGAATCTGCTGTCTTCAAGGCTGGAATTGTGGAAAGTAAAGGCTTCAAAGGTGGTTGGAATGGGTTGGGGAAGGCTGAAATGAAGATTCAAGTTCAGAGCTGGCATGCGCCTAAGCAAAAGGAAAAGCCACCACAGAATCCTCCCCACAGCCCCCCAGATGGAAAGCTTTCCTGTCGATGCAGCAATAAACACATGGGGCTTATGTTTCATATAGAAGAAACAAGGGCCCAGGCTGAGCATTCTGCTGCTCTATGATTCGCTATGGTGACACTCCATCCACGTGAAATGTACCTCACGTCCTTATCGCCTGGGTGCTCAGTTGCTGGGTTAAGGTAATTTCCCTCATGACCCCAGAAAAGTAAACCAACGTGGCAGAGACAGGCCTTTGTAACTGAATCTTCTCAAGAGAGGGAGTTTAGTGAAGTTTCTAACCAGAATTTTAGGAAAGACTTTTAAGTTTAGCCTTGTTACACACCTAGAATCTATCTGATGCTTTTTTCTTTAAAAAATGCTTATCTTTTTCTAAACTACACAATATTTACAGTTTGAAAGACCCAAGAGGCCTTGATCATTTGGGTAGGAGCTCAGAATGATTAAATGCCCAGACACAGATGAGGCTTTTGAAAAAGCCCTGGTTCTTATCCATGTGCTAAGGCCTGATTTTTTTTTATAAACAAAATCGCTATTACAAACCTTTGGAATATAAAATTAAAACACATCTTTAAAAAATTTTCCCGCTAATTCTTTTTTTTTTTTTTTTTCATCCAGCAAGTTAAAAAAGACTATCTTTTCTAAACAGACACAGAACCGAAAGAAGTGAGAGAAGCCGGTCTTCAGAAAGGGTTTATTTACACGGTGTCCTATCGGTGTGGTGGTAAGCCATGAGAAGCAGGGTCTTCATGACATGGCAGAAGAGCCAGCTGAAGACTGCTCCCAACTCTGCCTGAGTGCAAGTGTTTGTTGCGTATTTTGGGTGGAGCTGTAAGGCGTGGGGAAGGTGGCCTGCCACGTTTCCACATTCAAGAATAAATCTGCACACTCCAGATACTTCCTTGAGAGATGTCATGTTCAGAACAAAAAGCATTAACGCTTCCGAGTTACATTCAGAAGCATGGCACGGGGTGGGAGCAGGTCTTTCCGAAAGGTCAAAGAACTTGCTATCATTCTGCACCAAGTAGGTACTGGGTATTGTTGCGCACAGGTGTGTGTTTGGAGCTTTCAAAAGTCACACCCTGCCACCATTAGTAGCTAGCTAAATGGGCATTTTGGGCCCTGACCTATAACTAAACTATCCAGTTCTGCAGCTTGCTCAGATTGTGTAAGATGCTAAAATAAAACAAGGCGAATTAAAAAAAAAAAAAAAGCCTACAAATTAGTGATAAATTCACAAACCAGAAAAGCAACACATTTGTTCTTTGGGGAATGACAACAGAAATTTATGTTAGGTTTTCTTAATTATTAAAGACTGGTAATCGTTTTGTAATTAAGAAAAAACTATTGGCAGTATCAGAGACCCCAACACTTCCGTAGGAAGGCTCGTGGCCCCTCATAAAGGAATATCCTGTATGTCAGGTCTCAGCCATTCAATGCTTCCTTTCTCAGGGTGTCTGAGCTCGTCTGCTTTTGTCTGGCAATGCATTCAACAAATACTGGCAATCCTTCAAGAAAATGACTCAAAAATGTGGCTCACAATTAGGCCTGATATGCCTTTCTGACCTATGCCCTAATTTTATGGAAACAAATTAAGCCATGGGATAAACGTACTACTCAAAATATCCCATGGCATTCAGTGCTGTAGTCAAAAGCTACAGGATGTTGTTAATATGCCAAATGGGATCCCTTGCCACCTGTTTGAGCCCTGACACCCTCGGCGTCCACATCCTTTTCTAGGGACAACATTTAAAACCAGGTAACACTCTCCACAGTTGAGCAGCTGCGCCATACTGGCTGCCTGAATCCTATCCTGCTCGATCTTCCCTATACCTTCTGCCAACCGTGTGTGCGTGCGTGTGTGCATGTGCGTGCGCGCGCGTGTGTGTGTGTGTGTGTGTGTGTGTGTGTGCATGTATTTGATCATATATATGTATGTATATATGCTCCTCTCTTTTGACAAATGATTTCTTTTTTTTTTAAGATACTCTCTGAAAGTTACAACTACAGGATCGTAGACGAGGAAGGAAAAGGCTAGGGACTTCTTGGAGGTTGAAGCATTTAAACTCACACCCAGGAGGGGTCTCACTTTGACTTTACCACCTTATCTACGGAAGTCACTCCGTTACACCTCATTTTAGGCACTTTGAATGGACCCCTCTTCAGAACGGCATGGATGCTATAAACCTTCTCCAGCTCTTCATTAGCTCTGTCATTACTGTGATAATAAACTCCAAATTCTGTTTGTACACACACTCTTCTTATACCTGTACCGTAAATTCAAGTTTCAAGTTTTTTTTTTTAAACTTTAGGCTAAGGAACAGAGAAAAAAAAGTGAAAAGATGCAGATAAATCACTGTGTTAATTAAAATAAGATTCTAGCATACTGATCTTATACCACTGGGAGAAAAAACCCAAATTTCTAACTCTGGTAATGTCTGTAATAGCATGGATGGATGCATGGATCCTTGCTTAAAGTCTTACATACAGTAGATAGATGTTCAATAATCACTAGAGAGATTACACCAAGACTAGATGGACATCAGTCACAGGACCCTAACAGAGTCAGCAATGGCAAAGCTAACAGATGAAGAACAAGATGATGAAAACCATTCCAGTGGCTGGTAACATTTTAAGGTTTTATAATCTAATTTTAAAGGTAGCCATCTCTTCTTTTGTTCTATTTCAAAATTAAATATTCAATTAGTGGGCTATATTTATCCAAGATTATACATACTATATCCAATTAGCATCTGTATGTTTGACCATGTAACATAGTCCTGCTGACTACCAGACACAACTGAGTGCAAGACTATCCCTGCCTTCTAATATCAGTCTGAAGACTGAATTCTGTCACTGTCAGCCAATGACAAAATCCTTAGAAAGTAACTTCTACCATACCTGTCTACCATAGCTTCATGCAGGTTAATTAGCTGGGGGATTTGGAGATTAAAAACAAAACAAACAAACAAACAAAAACCCCTGGCTTATTGGTGTTAGCCCTCAGATTCATCACCAAATCAGAAACATTTACTGATTTGACATTCTTAGTAATGGTTCCCATGCACTTCCAGGCGGGTTTATGAATGGAAGCAGATACAGGCCACTCTGGGCAGTTAGGCAGCCCCACACTTTCTCCCTGGGTTATTTAGGGAACGTGTATGGCCAGTGGAAAAAGATCATGTTTATTTTTACAAGCCAGTCATGACATGAAGGAGCTGCACTTCCCTCTCTCTGGGAAGGTCACCTTCTTCACCTGAGTGGCCAGGGGGGTGGGAGGAAAGGCTCTCCCCCTAACCAACTAAACCTTAGCCAGTCAGCCCTGGGACCAACCCACAGAGCAGCGGGCACAGAGTCAGATAATCATTTCCCAGGCAGGACTCCGAGGGACTGCTGCTGGAGATGCCACCTAGATTATGACTAACACCTGACAAGAAAATGGATTTCATAATGTGCTTCAAAATTTTACCGCCAGATAGATGATTATATGAAGATAGCGGAGTGGATTCTCATTCATAATTTGTCATATATTTCGAACTGTTAAATGCAATACAACAAAACTGAATGTAATGGGTGGAGCCAAAATGGAGATCATGGAAAATTATTTTTTGAAGAGTTTCATTCTGATGGCTTACCTTACTCCTGCAATGTGTAACAAGCCTGGTTAGCTCCATGCACATGGAGCCTGAATAAATATTTGCTCTAAAATGCATTATCTGCCTTAACAGAAATAGTATAATTCAGCCGGCAGCATGTAGTTAAGCCTCCCTGATCTTCATTGGTGTGTGTGGTTCCTATTCGCAAACAGGAAGGGAAGCTGACACCCTGTTTTCAACTAGAATGTCCCATTGCCAATGCCAGTGGCACATGAAGAGGGGGAAAGGAAGCCGGAGAAAGGAAAAGCCGGGAGGTGAATCCTCCTTCTCCCTGGAGCATAAGGGGTGAGGAGGCCTTCCCTGGGAAAGCAGGTCATCTCACTGGCTTATGCATCATAATCACTTGAAAATGATACGGGTATGATTTTATCCTCAAGTGGCCTCTGCTTAAAGACAAAGACACCGAGCAAGAGGGGACCCTGAAGATCTCCAACCACAGCCTAAAGTGACAGCTTTGGGTTTTAGTGCCTGTCCTTACAGTCACAGTTTCTTTCAGATGTCTCTCTCTTGAGAGTTCTTTAAAAGTGTGAGTTTGGGAGGAGGAGTCCCATTCAACAAAAACCACAACAAACCACATTCTACAAAACATTCCTAACCTGTTTCTCTAGTTTATGAATGAACATTCTTTGAGACTCTACAAGAGGCAACAGTGACATGTAAGTAGGTGTATGTGGCTGTATCCTGGTCTCCACAGTTACCCTTGAACACAGGTGCTGAATTAAGTCTCGCTGAGGATCGGTATCTGTGGTTAAGCATGCATCAAAGGATGAGACGTTGACATTCATCAGGGGTTGTGCAAAGTGTATTTTAAATCCCATTAAGAAGCCTTAAATTCAACACACACACACAGGAATTTAACTTCGGTGTGCAAGTGAACACACACAGGGCATTGGTTCCTCCAGGGAATTGTGCCAAGATTCTCTATTTACAAATACAGTAGCAATTAAGAACAAAAACAAAACAGCTATCTTTCCAGGAGCACCATCCTACCAGTACTGAGGTAACTGTCCACGTACCCTATGCGCTTGCCTTAAATTACACCATGAAACCAAGATTCTCCTTTCACCAACGTGGTTGGCTCTTAGCCAGAAGGACTTACCAAGAAAGTGTGAGGTATATTTAAATACACTACCTCGGTGGTTTGTGATGAAGAGTTGCCGTTTTTTTAATGACAGGTTGACATTTATAAGAGACATCTAACAACTGGCCAATAGGGTCACTGAAAGAGTCTGGGAGCATGCTCCTAATCTTTCGAGGTGACTGCCAATCGTTTCCATAGTCTGGACTCAAATGAGACTTTGGTGTTAACAACTGTAGTCTTAACTCAGAAATGCCAGCAATAAGTAACATGCTCCTAATTTTCATAATAGAACCGCCTCACGTAATCCTGGTTGCCTTTTAAGTTTTCAGCAAGGATACATGCATCACCATCCTCTCCTCCCACCCCTTGAGGCTGCACTAGGAACCTCAGCCACGTCAGAGGGCTGACTCGGGCAGAAGCCATGTGCTCTGTACACCTCTAAACTATTTCTGCTCCCACTATCAACCTAAAACCAAGTCCATCTTCCTTCTGTCCAACCAGGATTTGCAGAAAAGCAGAGAAAGAAGACGCTCTTCTCCCAGTACAAGAGGCGGTGTCTGAGGACCAGTCATTTGGGCATTTGCTTCAAAAGGCACATTTATTTCAGTGGCAACTTAAACAAGTAGAGAGGAAAGAATCAGATTAAAAAGAAAACAAACAAAAACCCAGGGTGGGTTTTATGGAATACATGAAAGTAAGTAGGAATTGGAGACCTCTACGAACCACTGGAGTCTCACCAATAGTCTAATCAGGGTCCCTAAGTAGTCATTCAGTTTTATCATGACACTCACAGGCCTTCAGAAAACACTGTTTAAAAATGTAGTCGAGAACTCTCAAGCAGCTTGTCCTAACGTCCAGTTCACGAGCGCAATGCAGAAGGCAGCAAAATCAGAACTATGTGATAAAGAAGACTCAAGTGCATCTCCCGGGCTTTGATAAATTATGAAAAAAAAATCATTGTATATATATATGTATATATTATCATTTAAATAACATCTGATAAACATTTTGAAATAATTAACTTGTGTTCACATTCCATGCATTGTCTAGCGGGTTAAGCCCTGGGTTTGTGTCTTTGTGCCCATTTCCCAACAAAGAAAGGTCCATTCTTTTGACAAATCCAAGCATTTCTGGACCGCAGAGGCAGCAGCCAGGGATCTGTGTTTATCCTCTTTACTGCATACCTGCCTTCACTAAGGGACACAGAAGACTGTTAAAAAAAAAAAAAAAAAAAGCCAACTGCTTGGGGTTCTAGCTGTGATTTTTCTTCATTGTCCTTGCAAAATCCCTGGATATCATAGACAATACCTAATTTTTCTTTCCAGAGGCCCTCTCTTCCTTCGACTTCATCCCTATTTCCCTCTTCCAAAGGCCAGTGGACTGGGATCCCCAACTAGCAGCGGACCTTTTTTTCCTCGTGGTCTGCAGCACCCTCCTCTAGCCAAGAAGGAAACAACGAGACTTGAAAACAAACCCAACAGCGAACAACAGAAACTCCACGCGAACAGGTGGGCAAACCACGGCCTCCTCCTGGGGCGGAGGCTCACTTTTTACTGCAGAATTCGGAGTTGTTCAGGAACTTCCGGATGACCAGGCCCAGGCAAACCACCAGCAGCAGCATGTAGCCGACGGTGCCGGAGAAGGTGGGCGCTGCCGGGGACGCCTGCAGGAACTGGCGCAGGCCCTCTTCCACGTAGTACACCTGGTCGTAGATGCTGAGGAAGGTGAAGATGTGGAAGAGCTGGTGGCTGTGGCCGATGATGTCGAAGAGCCCCGGCTGGATGCGCTCGGGGATCTTGCTCACGTTGAAGAAGGCCGCCACCACCAGCCAGAAGTAGCGGCGGTAGAAGTGCACGAAGAGCGTGGGGTTCTCGCCGCGCAGGTCGAAGAGCCAGCTCTCCAGCATAATGGGGCAGGCCATGCTGAGCGGCATGACGAAGACGAAGGTGCGCAGGGCGAACGGGTAGGAGCACCAGTCAGTGCGGCTCTTGCAGCAGGCCACGGTGCAGGCCACGGCCAGCACGAAGGCCACGGGCAGCACGAGCGCGCGGTAGACCGCGATGAGGCGGGTGCAGTCCACGTGCCAGCCCAGGCGCTGCTGCACGTACGGCGTCATGACCCTGGCGTCCAGCAGGCTCAGGCTGGGCAGCAGGTAGTAGTAGTAGGCCACGGTGCTGCCAAAGCCATAGTAGCTGATGGAAGCGTAGTCCAGGTAGAAGAAGGCGGCGCGCAGGCGCAGCGACAGGCAGCTGAACACGTGCGCCGTGCAGCTCATGGCGAAGGTCAGCAGCACTCCCGACGCATAGCACCACAGCGGCAGCAGCCAGGGGTGGTGGAAGGGCACGTCGCTGCCGCCCAGGAAGAACAGGCGGCAGAACTTGCTGAGGAACAGCAGCAGCGGGATGAAGTGCGTCCAGAAGTTGAGCGTCTCGTTGGTGGGCTTCAGCACCGAGGCCAGGCACTCCTGCGCGGTGCACGGCAGCCGCCGGTAGCCGGACAGGATGAAGCACTCCACGAAGTCGTCGGGCACCTCGTCCCAGCGCAGCAGCGGCTTGGCGGCGCTGGCCGGCGGGCTCCGGGGCGCGGAGGCGGG